CCTTTCATATGATTTACTGTCAAAGATGCATAAAATTCAGAATTATAGTCTAAAATAATAGTTAAAAAGCTGAAATTTTTCAGCTTTGATAACTCAACTTTGAAAGACTGTAACTCATTGAATATAATACCAAAATCAACAAAATTATAGTATAAATTCATCTACAAACTGTAAATTAAACGTCGAAAAAAACCGCGTGTCAATCCGACTTAAAACGAACGAGTTATGGTTGTTTAAAAATTTTCACAGATTACAAAATTTTAAAAATGTTGCTGAAAAGCTGAAATCTTTCAGCTTTTATAGCTCAACTTTGAAAGACTGTAACTCATTGAATATAATACCAAAATCAACAAAATTATAGTCTAAATTCATCTACAGAATGTCACTTAAACGTTGGAAAAAAACCGTGTGTCAATCCGACTTAAAAAAGAATGAGTTATGGTTGTTTAAAAATTTTCACAGATTACAAAATTTTAAAAATGTTGCTGAAAAGCTGAAATTTTTCAGTTTTTATAGCTCAACTTTGAAAGACTGTAACTCATTGAATATAATACCAAAATCAACAAAATTATAGTCTAAATTCATCTAAAAACTGTAAATTAAATGTTGGAAAAAATCATGTGTCAATCCGAATTAAAACGAATGAGTTATGGTTGTTTAAAAATTTTCACAGTTTACCAATTTGTTTTTTTTAAATCGGGTCCAACCAGTTCTAAACCCGGTAAAAACCGGACCATAGCGGGAAAAAAACCGGACCGGTTTTGATGGATTCCTAGAACCGAGAACTGGCCAGGGGGTCAAAAAAAACCGTCCGGCCCGGTCCACCGGTCCAAATGCTCACCCCTAATATCAAGAATCTTCATATTGTAATATTATTCCTTTTTTTTTTCAACTTTTCACAACCTCAACAAAGGCATTATCCCTTAATTTTAAGACAAAATTGCAAAAATAGTCCCTATGGTATACATTTTTTTGGGGTTTTAGTCCAAACCACGACTTTTTTGGATTGATGGTCCTTTTGAGTTAGTTTCGTTGCGTTTTTGGTCCATCGGTAAACTGAAATGACTGTAATGCCCTTCTGATATTTTTTTTATGTTTTTTCTATTTAATTTAAATGAAAATAAATAAATAATTAAATTGGATCTCTCTCTCTCTCTCTCCAAATCATCTTCAGAACCTATCTTCATCTTCCTCACACTTCTTCATCCAAAACTACTTTTGTCAAAAATGAAATCGGAATACCTGTAACTGGAAATTCAGATGAAGAAAAAACTCCACATAAATAATTTTTGGGTTTTCTTTCTCGCTCTACAGTATACCAGAAGACCATCTTCTTCATGTTGGAGCTTGAAACTCGCTGGAACTCACCTCCAGCTCCTTTTATATTTGCTAAAATCCACATTCTCCTCCAATTATCTCTGCTGAAATCATAAATTTTGACAACTACACCTACCATATTTTTTGTTTGATGTCCCATAAAGTAGAGAACAAAAATATTGGGTTGATTCTTGGATCTATGCAATCGGATTCCCCCAATCGAAGACTTTAACCCATATGATTAAGGGCTTATAAATCCATTTTACTGGCCACCGAGGTGGTCTCCATTTTATTCACTGACATGGGTGGTGGTGGTAGTCATTCCATTCTCGATGCTTCCTCCATGCTAGTTCGATTCGACAAATGGATTCTCGATGA